GAGCAGAAACCCCTGCGCCGGAGGAGAGAATGAAGCTCCCCAACCCGACCCCCAGAGGCCAATGCCAACAAGAAAAGAGCCTTAGAAAAACAGCCATGAACCGAAGGGGCCACAACAAACCGAGGAGTAGATAAATAAGAGAGCACTCTGTTCAAAGACCAAGACGGCTCAGGTGGCACATGAGCAGGCCGGAAATGAAACAACGCCTGAGACAGCATGCGAAATGGTGCAGAAGTAACATCAGTACCAAAAGCAAGCTGCAGTGACTCCTCCAATGCCGCACGATACAAGGTGAGAGTATTCAGCATAAGATGACTGTCCTGAAACAACCAAGAGAGAAAGGACAAAACAACTTTAACTGAAAGCAAAGTACAGCGATGAAGACACAAAAAGAACTGGAAGGACCGCTAGGAAACTTCATACTGCCGCCGAAACAAAGCAAGCAGGTGGGACACCATCAAAGAAGCCACCTGATCATCATATAGGTGGTGATAGACTTGGGGTCAAAAAGACTAAACGCGAAGACTCGAGGAGAAGACTGAACCAGTCTCATAATGGACAAGACCCACCTGCTGAAAAAGGCAGAGCCGCAGGAAAACCTCCGGGTTCGGACACCAAGTAAGCAGCGCCTGAAACCAAGGCTGGACCAGCCACCATGGGGCCAAGAGGACTACTCTTCCCTGGTAAGCGAGCCAGGACCTGGAGCACCAGCTGAACCGGGAGAAAGAGGTACAGGAATCCTCACCTCGACCAGTCCTGCCGAAAGGCATCAACCCCGACGGCCTCACAGTCGGGGAAGAGTGCCACATATCAGAAGACGTCTCGACCATGAAGACGTGAAGAGGTCCATCTCCATTTCAGAGTGCCTGAATGTCTGGTAGAGCCAACTGAATGACTCGGCGTCGACCATCCATTCCGTGGACAGGAGAATGAACCAGGACAGGCTGTCTGCCAGGACGTTGGACACCCCACCGGACGCGAACGACCAAGGAGACCCAAACCCCGAGAACTCAGCAGATGAGTCACCTGAAGCAACCAGCCCCAAAGAGCCAAGGACCGCATCGAACCCCCTCGGTTCAGGCAATGAACCACAGGGGAGCAGTCCGAATAGAGGCGGATCATCGATCTGTGGGTGACCTGAACTCTCCGAAGCGAAAACCACACCACCGCGAACTCCTGCACCGTGCTGTGGGCCTGACGGAAGGACGGACCCCAAAGCCCCTGGCCGGCCTGGTGAGCATTGGTCTCTCGGCCAGCCGAGAGACGACGAGTCCGTGAACACTATGAGTGAGGGGGGACTAAGGTAGGTACTGAACCCCCCCAAAAAAAAAAAGGAAGCCGGCGATGCAGCAATTGACCCCCAGGGGTCTAACCTAATGATCGCGAAAGAGGTGGAAGGGAAGTCTGCAAAGGAACCAGAACAGCTGACGAAGCCAAACCCGACCCGGAGGGTAAGACCAACATCAGAAAAGCTCAGGTTCCCGCACAGACCCTCGAGCAACCGCCGCATTATCCGGGATGACCCAAAAAACAGCCCCCCCCCCCCCCCCCACCCCCGAAGGAGGAAGGGCCACCCAACACCACCATAGGTTGTGGGGAAAAACCCAAAAAGCGCACAAATTGCGAAACCAGGCATGAGCCAACAGAGCAAGCCTTCCCCCCCCCCATCACCCAGTCAATGGGGCAAACTGCGAAAGGGCTGACACCCCTTAGGAGAACCCGACCTGCTCACAGAACGATAACCTTGCCAACCCGGCGCAACAGGGACCAAAGGCCGCTCCTGCTCCGAACCTGGCACCTGTGGCCTACCCTGACGAGCAGAATCCCTAGCCCTGGTATGACCCTTCCGGGAAGAACATCCCATGGGACTCCCCGGAGAACCAACACGTCGGACATTGAATGACAGCTGGAAGAAGCCGCCTGCAGAAACCGCTCAACTGCAGAGTCCACAAACAGCAAGGGATAAAAGGGCAAAGAAAACCTAAGAGCCAGGGCCCCAGGCAGATTCCAAGGAGGAAGTGAGCACAACCGGCCGACACACAAGACGAGCAGTGAGAAACCGCGATTACGACATAAGATCGGCGCAAACAGCTTCAGCAGCGCAGATGACACACGAGCAGCCGAGACCAAGGCACCAGACCCAGGAATGGCCTCAAGCCGTTCACATCCTCCACAAGCCAATCTGACGACAGCTCCAGGAGGGAAAATAAATGCAATATCGAAGCCAACAAGCCACGAGCGCGCAAGTCCTCAGCCACAAGCGCAGCTGACAGGGAGGGAGGACTGCACATGAAGCTGAATCGCGCCCACATCGCACAGAAGGGCAAGGGTGAACAAGCACGCATTAAGGTGCTCAAATTGGCCCCCCAGGTAAACCTGAACTACCATTAACATCACGCACCACTCAAGTGTGCGGGTACAACAGAAAGCACTCCAAGCATCCAACGACAACAACAGGCAGTCCATAAGCCAGGACGACTCTTGAACCTCATAATGAACCCAGTATGGAGACAAAAATCCAAACCTGAAAGACAACAGATCCATTATAGAGCCATAATCCGGGCTGCGCAGAAGGTAAGCTGCAATGGCTGCCCGCACCTCAGTAGGCAAGACGCAGGAAGCCGAAAACCTCCAGAAGGACGGAATCGAAGGACCCGCAAGGATACGGAACTGAACCCGGGGAGGAACTGAACCCGGGGAGGAGCCGAACCCCAAATCCAACTCGTATGCAGAGAGGGAAAAGAAAACCCCACTCCTTGTAAGAGAAAGCCCCACTCTGAGGGTTGGAAAACCCAGGCGGAGTACAACGGGGGCCCAAGTCAGCTCCTCCCCAACCCCAGGAACCTCCACATCAGGTACCGGGGGCGTGTCATCCTCCAAAACCCAGGCCTTACAAGAAAAACCCGGGCTGGCTGGAAAAGCAGATAGAGAAGGGGCCCACTGGTCAGACCCTGGTGCCATGACTGGAGGAATGGACTCGAATGCCTCCATCGCCACCCCGGAAGAGGCAACCCCCAAAACTGCCCGAATCTCAGAATCCTCTAAGCCTTGCCTCGACTCCAAAGCCCTCAAATGCTTTGGAGCCGGAAGCACAGGGGTGGGGAGAACAGAATGAACCACAGCAGGAGGAGAACAAGAGGGTGTGGACTGAACCAAGGCCAAAGCGACCAACACCCACAAGTTTGGATCCATATAAGCAAAGATGGGCAGCCTCTGGGCATCCGGGGAAGCAACCAACATATAATATTGCAGAAACCTATACCTAGTATGCAACGTCTGAGCCACCTACACCCAAATAATGTCATCAGTGGATTGGGTGAATTAAGTCACAAACAAGCAACAATGCTCGCAGGACTCAGGGTCGAAGGTGTCACCGACCCAACAGGCTGCATGACAGGCAAAAACAATGAGCATCGCCCAGAGACAAGGGGACAGAGCAACCCTCAAACTCGCACAAGGCAAGAGGGGACCCAGGGGTCGCATCCATTGGACCCCGCGCACCCCCTGCAGAGTTTTCCAGGGTCCCTAGACTGTTTTCGCTAAGGGTAAGCCCAGGCAGGGTACTGCTAACTGGCACCCAAGTCTACCAAACAAACTTCTAAAACTGAATCCCCGGGATGTGTCCACTCACGGTGGCCAAGCAGGGTGTACCACCAAACACCGGAGGTCAAGGGACACAAGGCAGACCCACCCACCCCCCATCAGGCAGAAAAAAAAAAAAAAGAAAAACCTGCAAGAGGACAACATACCCCAGGAGGAACAGAGCTGGCTACTGTAAGAGGTGAAAACTTGCTGTGCAGCACTCCCGTGCCACTACCAGTGTAAAAATTACCACTTACCCCAAAGTAAACAAGGGAGGAAACCCCCCCAACACACTCGGGGCAGTCAATCACTGAGCAGCAATAGATCAACAGAGGTAGACCCCAGGGTGACTTGTGGAAGAGAACCCCAAGCCCCAAGGGCAGTACTTACAGGGCACTCAGGGAAGAGAACCCTAAGCACGTGCAGCCAGAGTAACTGTAAATATTACTCCAAGCTCGCACACTACCATAAGAGCAGTACTGGACACAAGGCACAGCACAATACAGAGAGAATCTGGAGCTGGAGCCACACGACCATGCCACAGTCACATCAGCCGAGAACTGAGGGGGTGGACCATCGGGCTCGTGTGCATGCTCATTTCCTCGTTTTCATTTGGGAAGTTCTGTCCACTCGTTTGTCTATTTTAGTTGTTTTAACCGGAATAGGCATTTTTTTGAGTTGCTTACCTTTCTGGGTGCCTGGCCCGGTCGATGGCAGACATAGAATACTCCAAATCCCATGTGCATTTCTATAGGCCATTGCTCCTCGTGCCTCTCTGAGGGGGCCAGGTTCTGGCTCGAGGTCCCCAGTAGGCCCAGAACTCCATTCACACTGACTGATGCCAAAGTCTAATGACATGTATATCAGCTTGGATAACTCCAGGGAGCCGAAGGGGCTCCCACTAGAAAACCAGAGAAGAAACGAATGAGAAACATCAGAATAATTGTGCAACATTATATACGCGACAACTGCCGTCCCATGGGGCGGCGGGGTCATGTGGCCCTGAGGGCTCCATTGCCCAGGACCCGTAGTTTGCTCAACTTCCCAGCTCCATCACGGCTAAAGTATGTCACATACAATATTTTTTTACTTTCCCGTGATCAGAGACTGTATTTTAACATTATATAAGAAGAGAAAATAATTTTTTGGAAATAATTTATTTTTGGTGCACGACTGGTTTGTCATATTTTAATGCAGAGCAGTTCAGTGGTTAAAGACAATCTGATTTCTTAAGCTTTATCTTTGCTCTTTTTACCATTTTGTTAACAAAGCCCTCATTCATTGTTTAACTTATCTACTAAATTATTTGCTGCTTTAATCTCTTTTAAGGCATTTTAATTATTAGATGTCATGTCTATTATTATGATTTTGATTTTCCTCTATTTTCCTACTTTGTCCAAAACAAAATCCAAGCTTACTGTGCAGTGTTCAGGAAAGCCACGAAAAGAAGTGCTGCTATCACTGTCATCAGAGGTCAATATGCTTGTATGAGTTGGCAGGTCATTTGAGGTCAAACAAGTAGCCTGATCTGGGAAGGAAAAGTCTTACTTTGTCAAAAACCTGCAGAGCATACATGAAGGGAATAAAAATCTAGTTAATAATATAAATCTAGTTAATAATATGAATCTAATATATATATTTGATTTGTTTTATTATAAAGCCTGTGTTGAAAAATTACAACAATGCCTTTTTCTGGTGGGCCACTCAGTAGCTCTCCGACGCCACAACCTGGAAGCAACCAAGCCATGTAGAACACACAGGATTAGGACCCACGAATGCATACCAGGGATGAATATCTTGAGATGATTTCAGGGCTTAACATTCTTGTGACCAGGTCCTCGACTAGGCCTCCTTATTTTTATACACCCCCCAGGAAACGGCCCATAGCAGCTGTCTAACTCCCATGTACCTATTTACTGCTAGGTGAATTGGGGCATCAGGGTGAAAGAAAACCTGCTCCATTTGTTTCTGCCTCCACCAGGGATCGAACCCGGAACCTTAGGGCTATGAACCCCGAGCACTGTCCACTCAGCTGTCAGGCTGAGTGGACAGTGAACACTAATCTCAGAACACTAATGTGATCCACTAAAAGAGGTTAAGGACATCCTGGAGATCAGAGATTACCACAGTACCAAGGAAATCCCACCTTAAGAACATATGCTCCAAAACAAGCAACCCAGCATATACAAAAGGTTCCTTAACGTTTTAAACTCGCTATAGAAGTGACACCAACTCTTTACATAAAGTTGTTTTATTGTTTTGTGTGTTTGTTTTTGTTTGTATGTGGATTTGAGATACACAATTTCTTTCCACATAACTGAACCCAGAGTGCTGGGACGACGGGACACCATGAGCATAGCTCTCATCCTGTAACTTCACTTAGGTATTTACACACAAACACATGCATGTGGGAAAGAAGACGATATATTTGACATCCAGTACCTTCCTCCCTTAGAAAAACAGAGATCATGTCCTGCTGGAAACTAAATATGCTTTGCAATATAATCTGGAAGAGAATAGTGTCGGGATCGAACTACCGGGTCAGGAGTTGACTCACCACATTTACCATCAAGCATGATATGATATTTATGTCAAGTTGTCGTCATGAGGTTTAACCATTTAGTAGGGCATGATCAGGTGTCCTCCCAGCCTGGCCTATCGTCAGGTGCGCCACACTTCACTGACTGGGTCCTGACTAATTATGTCCACGAATTAAAACACTTGGATATGAATGATGCACCAGCAACTTTATATTATCTATATTAATCACAAATGTACACTATGTATAATATGTACAGATATATAGATTGCGTTATGAAATACGAGTACATTATTCGCCACACAGGCAGTCACAACATTTCACACAACACCAATAGTTCATCAGACTATTGCATCTTTTAACCCTTAAACCGCGCATATCATATATATATGATATCAGTGACAAAACCGAAACCGCGCACATCATATATATATGATTTCGTGTCTAGCGCTATAATTTAAACACCCCGCCTGGGATAGGGGCAGCTATAGTACAGCCACGACCGATAGTTGCCAGATGCCACCTAGAAAAAAAATCCAGGCCAACATTCTTGGGTGTTAGAGCGTCAGTATTGAGCAAGCCACCAAGGCTGGCGCACGCAGCACGAGCTCACAGCACCGCTGTTCAGCTTGTGACCACAGCATCGCCTACAAATGCCATAATATATATGATACTGCTATTATTTAGCAGTGATAGTATTACTGAAGACCCCCTGACTGTGATAAAACTGACCAGGATTCTGATAATAGCAGGATTGTGGTGATATTTAGCACTGTGCTCAATGGAGGGATGAGTAAGGCTGTGGAGGGAGGGTTGTGGCGTCGTCTTCTGACTGTGTGTGGCCACCATTTATTGACTGCACTCACCATACCAGCTTAGTGGTTCGCTATGGTGAACACAAATGTAGATACTTATATATAATGTGTGTCTAGAGTGTGATAACAGCGAGAGGAGTAGGTTGGGAGCCGCCATTTTGGTGAGGGAGGAGCGTCGTCTGCACGACTTGTCATGTTGTTTACTGATGGCCACTATGGTCTTTGGGCACCATACCAGCTTATTTGTACAGGTATGGTGAATAAAACAGGTAGATACTTATATATAATGTGTGTATATAGCGTAATAACAAACAATATTGTTGGAGGAGAAATATTAGCGCCTCTGGTCTTGAGGGCGGTTGCTGATCAGCTGACTGTGTGAGTAATTACCTAAGTGTAATTACCTAAGTGTAGTTACAGGATGAGAGCTACGCTCGTGGTGTCCCATCTTCCCAGCACTCTTTGTCATATAACGCTTTGAAACTACTGACGGTCTTGGCCTCCACCACCTTCTCACTTAACTTGTTCCAACCGTCTACCACTCTATTTGCGAAGGTGAATTTTCTTATATTTCTTCGGCATCTGTGTTTAGCTAGTTTAAATCTATGACATCTTGTTCTTGAAGTTCCAGGTCTCAGGAAGTCTTCCCTGTCGATTTTGTCAATTCCTGTTACTATTTTGTATGTAGTGATCATATCACCTCTTTTTCTTCTGTCTTCTAGTTTTGGCATATTTAATGCTTCTAACCTCTCCTCGTAGCTCTTGCCCTTCAGTTCTGGGAGCCACTTAGTAGCATGTCTTTGCACCTTTTCCAGTTTGTTGATGTGCTTCTTAAGATATGGGCACCACACAACAGCTGCATATTCTAGCTTTGGCCTAACAAAAGTCATGAACAATTTCTTTAGTATATCGCCATCCATGTATTTAAATGCAATTCTGAAGTTAGAAAGCATAGCATAGGCTCCTTGCACAATATTCTTTATGTGGTCCTCAGGTGATAGTTTTCTATCTAGAACCACTCCTAGATCTCTTTCTTTATCAGAATTCTTTAAAGATTTCTCACATAATATATAGGTTGTGTGGGGTCTATGTTCTCCTATTCCACATTCCATAACATGACATTTATTAACATTAAATTCCATTTGCCAAGTGGTGCTCCATATACTTATTTTGTCCAGGTCTTTTTGAAGGGCATGACAGTCATCTAAATTTCTTATCCTTCCTATTATCTTAGCATCATCAGCAAACATGTTCATATAATTCTGTATACCAACTGGTAGATCATTTATGTACACAATAAACATCACTGGTGCAAGAACTGAACCCTGTGGTACTCCACTTGTGACATTTCTCCATTCTGATACATTGCCTCTGATTACTGCCCTCATTTTTCTATCAGTCAGAAAATTTTTCATCCATGATAGAAGCTTACCTGTCACCCCTCCAATATTTTCCAGTTTCCAGAACAACCTCTTATGTGGAACTCTGTCGAAAGCCTTTTTTAGGTCCAGATAGATGCAGTCAACCCAACCATCTCTTTCCTGTAATATCTCTGTGGCTCGATCATAGAAACTGAGTAAATTCGATACACAGGATCTTCCAGATCGAAAACCATACTGTCTGTCTGATATTATATCATTTCTCTCTAGGTGTTCTACCCATTTAGTTTTGATTAGTTTTTCCAATACTTTCACTATTACACTTGTCAATGATACAGGTCTATAATTGAGGGGGTCTTCCCTGCTGCCACTTTTGTAGATTGGAACTATGTTAGCCTGTTTCCACCCGTCTGCTACGATTCCTGTACACAGGGATGCCTGAAAGATCAGGTGAAGTGGAATGCTGAGCTCAGATGCACATTCTCTCAGAACCCATGGTGAAACGCCATCTGGGCCAGCTGCTTTGTTCTTACCGAGCTCCTTGAGCATTTTTTCCACTTCGTCTCTAGACACCTCTATGTGTTCTATGTTGTTCTCTGGAATTCTTATTGTATCTGGTTCCCTAAAGATTTCATTTTGTACAAACACACTTTGGAACTTTTCGTTTAGTGTTTCACACATTTCCTTTTCATCTTCCGTGAATCTATTTCCCATTTTCAACCTCTGAATATTATCCTTTACCTGCAATTTGTTGTTTATGAATTTATAGAATAGACCTGGTTCTGTTTTACATTTGTCCGCAATCCCTTTTTCAAAATTTCTTTCTGCCTCTCTCCTCACTGCCGTGTAGTTGTTTCTCGCATCTTTGTATCGCTGGTATGTTTGGGGGTTCGGCCTCTTCCTGTATTGATTCCATTTTTGTGTCTTTCGGTCTCTAGCCCTCTCGCAATTTCTATTGAACCAATCCTGTTTCCTAGTTCTGCATCTCTGTTTTGGTATAAATTTTTTTGTGCCTTTATCATATATTTCACAAAACTTGCCATACATCTCATTCACTTCCTTGCCTAGCATCAAGTCTGTCCAATTATACTCACTAAAAAAATTTCTAAGGTCACCATAATGTCCTCTCCTGAAGTCTGGTTTTTCAACTGCTTCAACCTCCTTATTTTCTTCCAGCTTATAACGCATTGCATACTTTATTCCCAAAAAGACATGGTCACTTTTACCCAAGGGAGGAAGGTACTGAATGTCAAATATCTCTTCCTCCTTCCTGGTAAATATCAAATCTAGCATGGAGGGAACGTCCCCTTCCCTCATCCTCGTAGCTTGTTTAACATGTTGATACAAGAATGTTTCCAGGATGAGGTCTACAAATTTACAGGTCCAAAAATCTTCTGTTTTAGCTTCATATGCTTCCCAGTCTATGGATTTCAAGTTGAAGTCACCGACTATCAACAGTCGTGATCTATCGTTATCCGCTCTCGCTATAATCTCTCTCATTATTGTTATAAGACCTTCACGTTTACTATCTAGCTCCTCCTTTGACCATGTGCTGCTTGGCGGTGGACTATATGCATTTATCATCATTAGTTTATCATCCTCATAGCAGATCTCTAGTGCTATTATGTCAACTTCTTGTGGATTGGCAGTCATTATTTCCTTCACCTTTAGGTGTTCTTTTACCAGCACAGCAACGCCACCGCCTTTCCTAATTTTTCTGTCCCGTCTCCAAATTGAGTAGCCCCTTGGGAATATGACCTCATTTAAAATTACATCTTCAAGTTTTGTCTCCGTG